TGGGCAGGTTCGCTACACGGTTTGGTCAAGCCGTCTTCTAAAGAGTTTGCTTTCCACATCCCCTTGAAAGGGGACTTTGAGGAATAGCGTTTTCTTTTCCGCAGTAGGTGTGGTGGGTTCTATTTGCCTCACTACAGTATTATTTGTTGACGGTTCCAAAAATACTGTCAACGTAGTTTATTACTGCGTCTTGCAGCAAAAAGACTTCATAAGGTTGCCGAATTCTTTCGCTTTTATTTCTAGAAAACAGCGCGATTTTTTATACTTGACTTCACGTAATTTTCAATGACTTAAGGTGCAATTTTCCGGCTCCAGAAGGGATTCATTGGAGACTTTTCATGCTTATATTAATGCTCTTTTATAGCACCAGGCAACCAAAACGATAGGTTTTGTTCAGTGATATAGGAAATTTCTTGGCTCTCCGGCAATCTCCGAGTTCGTCCAAATATTGCCAGTTTTCCTTAAAAAAAATAGGGTCTCATTGCATCGTTTTCTTTAAAATAAAAGATCTTATCAGCTTCAGATCAATTTAAAAGGTGGCGTGAGTCTGCACCTACGCGTGCCACCAACGCCCAATGGAAGCGGCCTGGGCCTCCGTGTCACAGGCCCCACTGTTAATATATACAGGATCGCAGCCCGACAGGATAGCGAGCCCAGTGGCTCAGTGGATAGATCAGTGACCTTCTAGCCAACGGAAGGCTGGTTCGATCCTCAGGAGTCGCGAAACCTGGATTTGACACTGGTTTATGAACGTTCACCGATCGCGCTAACGGAACTCACTTGTCTCGCTCTGCATTGGGTCTCATTTCTCAGGCCCTGACAACAGCCGTAGCGGCTAGTAGTCTTAGGCAGATAGTATTGCCGGCAAAGACTGGAATGGCCACTTCTGCCTTATTAGCCGTCGTCAGGCAGTCATATCCAACATCCCCTAGTGGTGTCCCACTCGGGGTTCGAACTCGCGACCTTTTCGATCACAGTCCAACGCTCTAACAATTGAGCCTCGAGCTCGTTGTCTTGCCGGTTTAGGTTGGGAGATATTGACACACTCGTTCTCCGGTCGCGCTAGCGGAACTCACTTGTCCCGCTTCGCCCTTGTCTTGAGCCTCATTTGCTTGCGATTGGCTGACAACAGCTACGTAACCAGAAATAGTCACTCTAGTTTTCCTTGTCATTACCGGTAATGCTTGATTTCTGGGCCAACGCAACAGCACAGTTTTCTCCTGGAGACCCCGCACCCGCGACCTTTTTAGTTAGAAGTCCAATGCGCTCCAACCACTTGGCTACAGGCTTGCTGTCTTATCGCTTCTTGATCGGGAATATACAGTAGCAGCTAAGCGTACACCGATCAGTTACAGGAAAATGTCTGTAATGTAATTCTACATGTCATATGACCCTTGATTCAACGCAACAGCCCAATTTTCTGGTGATATAAGACTCGTCTGTACTTTGCTGTCTCCTACACCTGTTTTTGACCCTGCCCGTTTCTCTTCCGTAGATCTCCAACTGTTACTCCATCAACCGGCATTTGCCCTCCCCCGTGCAATTTTACGTCACTGGACTGGGCTCTGCCCTCGCGGAGAGTTCATCATCGCCCTCATCTTCTCAGGCCGCAGGACAGTCGACGGCAGCGGCGGAGGAAGCCAGCACTTCTGAAACCGATGGGTCTCCAGTCGCAAAGAGTACTCTAGCTCGACTGAATCTGGTCAACGCGGAGAACTGGGACCTCTTCCTGAAAATGGTACCACTTTGACCACCACCACCACTTGTTTCACCTCCATTTTGCCGTTTCCTTTCTTCCTTCCTACAGTCGACCCCCAGCAGGTCATCGGAGCATCAGTATGCCTGTGCACACCCCGTTCAGATAGTTCAGTTCAGTATATCTAGGGTAGAAAGCAGTGCCTTTGAACACCTTATTAAAAACTGTATGCAAATGCAGTCGACATAAAATACACAAAATAAACGTGTTACTATAAAATAGTGAGTAACATATACAGATGTACATATTTTCAACAAGGAAATTTGCGCGTAGTCATCCTGCAGATGGAATAGCAGGTATGACTCTCATCTGTGTGCGTTTTATTGTTCGGAATGGCTGACTGGCGGGCTGAGATTCAGACTGCAATGACTCCTTCTTTCCGAGCTATACCTCTTTTCTGTCGAGGTACTTCTCCAACTTCGTTTTCTTGCTTGCCGTGCGCTGGAATACCTATGTTATTATTATTATGAAAAGTGGGCTTCACTTCACTATCTGAAGGAAAAATAGACACTTGCGTAAAATTCGTTTATCGGTAGGGAGCATGGATTTAATTGGAAATACTTTGAAATATTCGTAAATCGAACCATATTAGCTAGAAAGGTTTTGCCTTTGACGGAGGTACGGAGACGCCATAACTGAGGCTGTTGGACGCTTCCCATCAAAAAATGAATAAGGACACGTCAAACTCTCAGGTCGAAAGGTTGACAAATTGCGAAATGCAATACGCATATACAGTAGTCGCCAAAGACCACGCAACTTTCATAACTTTGTATAAGTTTGATCATTACTCGAATACCAGAGTGAATGCATTTAGGAAAACTTAGAAATAATAATGAACAGCATTAGACATATTAAGTACTTAAAAGAACTATAGGAATTACTAAGTTTTTGTAAAAAAAATAATATTTTCTCGATAATCCCGTGGTTCTGGAGACGTAAAAAAGAGCTATAAATGAGAACAATAAATTTAGATACTGTGTTAAGTTGAAAACTTGAAGTAACCACTTTCTATATATGAAAAGAACTTTTCTTTAGTCAAAACATTCTGTAAATTTTACCGTCACTGGATAAGTATTTATTGAATGTCGTCAAAAAGTGTGTCACCATTTTCCTTTTTTCACTGTCTTCATTGATAAATTTATAAATTGCGCATCTA